AAAAAAATATTAAAAAAAAAAAAAAAAAAAGATTTTTGGAATACATTTAAAGTGGTGCTTAGAGGAAATTTTGTGGCATTCAAGGCTTATATTAGAAAAGAAGAAAGATCTAAAATGAATGGCATAAGCTTCCATCTAAAAAAAACTAGAAAAAGCAGGCAAAGACAAAGCAAGCAGAAGGAAGAAAATAATAAAGAGATGAAATCAACAAAATTGAAAAACAGAAAAAACAGATGAAATCAATTAAATCAAAAGCTGTTTCTTTGAAAGATCAATAAAATTGATAAGCTTAGTCAAACTGATCAGCGAAAAAGAGGGAAAAAATTTCTAATATCAAGAATGACACAGGAAATACTATAAATCCTATAGGACATAAAAAGGATAATGTAATATTACATATGAATAACATTAAAAATATGATAATGTATAATTTTTATATATGAACAACTTTGTGCTCATAAATTCAAATATCTAGATAAAATAGGCAAATTCCTTAAAAGACACAAACTACCAAAGCTCATTCGAGAAGAACCAAATATACTGAATAGTCCTATATTTTATTAAAGAAATAGAATTTGTAATTTAAAATATTTCAACAATGAAAACTCCAAGCCCAGGTTGCTTTACTGGCAAATTCTACCAGATACTTAAGGAATAAATAATACCAATTTAGTATAAATGTCTCCAGAAGATATTAAAGAAAACACTTCCCATTCATTACCCTAATACCAAAACTAGACAAATACATCACAAGAAAACCATAGATCAATATATCTCAGTAACATTAATGCAAAAATACTCAATAAAGTGTTATGAATCAAGGCCAACAATGTATCAAAATGATAGAATATCATAACCAAATTGGTTTTATCCCAGGAATGCAAGGTTAGTTGAACATTTAAAATCCAATCAATATAATTCACTATATCAACAGACTAAGAAAAATCATATGATAAAAAAAAAAGAAAAATCACAGGATCATCTCAACAGGTGTAGAAAAGCATTTGGCAAAATTCAACAACAATTCATTATTTAAAAAACACCTCTCAGCAAATTGGAATGAAAGAGAACTTTCTCAGTCTAATAAAGGGCCTCTGTATTAGTTCTATTTGCTGCGTAACAAGTAACCCCAAAACATAAATATCAAACATTTATTATCTCACAGTTTCTGGAGGTCAGGAATCCACTGAAGACTTAGCTAGGTGCCTCTGGATCAAGGCCTCTCACGAGATTGAACTTACGTTTGTCAGCTAACTTATGTTTGAGGCTACGTCTCATCTGAGGGCTCACTGGAATGGTGGTGTGGGGCAGGGGGAAGATCTATTTCCAGGCTCACTCACGTTGTTGGCAGGATTCATTTCCTCACAGAATATCGGACTAGTGCCTAAGTTCTTCTTGGCTATTGGCTTCCTCAGTCCCTTGCCACAGGGCAGCTCACAACATGGAATCTGTATTCCCTCAGAGCAAGTAAGTGAGAGCACAGGTGGGACCTCAAGGTGGAAATTACAATTTCTTCATAATCTAACCTCAGAAGAGAGATTACATTACTTTTGACATGTTCCATTCCTTAGAAGAAAGTCACTAGGTCAAGTGCGGGGCACACAAGGGCATGAATACCAAGAGGCAGGGGTCATTAGGCCCATCTTAGACGCTGTCTGCCACAGCATCTACAAAGGAGTCTAGCTAGCATCATACCTAGTGGTGCAAGACTGAATGCTTTCCTCCTGAGATCGTAATAAGGACATCTGCTCTCGCCACTCCTATTTGAGTTCACCATGGAGGACCTACCAAGTGTAATAAGGCAAGAAAAAGAAATAAAAGGCATACCAGTTAGGAAGAACTAAAACTGTCCCTATTTGCAGATGACATGATTGTCCACATAGAAAATCCCAAGGAATTTACAAAAAACTTCCTACAATTTATAAGTGAGAAAACATCCAGATGGCAAATAAGCATATGAAAAAATGTTCAACATTAGTCATTAGGGAAATGCAAATTAAAGCCACAACAGACCACTACCCACATATTAAAATGGTTGAAATAAGAAGATCTGACATACTGAGTGCTGACAAAGATGCAAAGTAATTAGAATATTGCTGGCAGGAATGTAAAATGGTACAGTCTCTTTGGAAAACATTTTGGCAGTCACTTCAATAACATATACTTATCATATGACCCAGCAGTACTCCTCCTAAGTATTATTTTCCCAAGAGATGAAAACATATGTTCACACAAAAGACCATGCATGAATGTTTATAGTGGCTTGGCATAATCACCAAAACTGGAAATGACTCAAATGTTCAAGTGGGAATGGGTAAACAAGCCATGGTACATCCATACAATGGAATATTACTCAGCAATAAAAAGGAGTAAACTACTGACAAACGCAACAAAATGGATGAATCTCAAATGATTTATGTTAAGTGAAAGCAGCTTAGCTCAAAAGGCTACAAAATATACAATTCCATTGGCATGACATTCTGGAAAAGGCAAAACTGTAGAGACAGAAAACACATCAGTGGTTGCCATTTACAGACAATTTCTGGGAGGTTCACAGATGGCCTCTAGTCCACCCCGGCCCCCCATCTATATGCTACGCCATTGTCAAGGCAGCCACCAGTCCCTCGCCTCCCAGCTCCTATCCTGAAGCACATGCAGCCGCTCGCTGCTCGGCAAGGGGCTGGTCCCTGTTTCACCGACAGTATGTTAATTTTCTCTCCTCCGGTGTTATTCTAGGGCAAACGCCCGCCTCAGCGCCCCGCAGATGAAATGGGATAGACGGTCAAGTACTGAGGCGGTCCGGCGAGTGGGAAATGACCTTATTTCGTGATTTCCCCATATGTGAACGCCCCCTCTGAGCTCAAACCTGGGCAAGCAGGAGCGAGCTGGGGAAGGACGGGAGCGAGGCGGCTCCCTGAGCCTCCGTCTCCCACGGAGGAGGCCGGCTGCGGAGGCAGTCAGGGCCCCGGAGCACCCCACCGTCCCCGCTAAGGGACTGACGGCTGACTTTAACCCATTTCGGGCAGACCTTCCTTTTCATCTTTGCCTTTCTCTCCCTGTTTCTCATTCATTCATTCATTCATTCATTCATTCATTCATTCATTCGTTCGTTCGTCCGTCCGTCCGTCCACTGACTGGCTGCTGCTGCCACGGATCCGGACAGACACAGCTCCCCTCGAGGCGTCTACAGTCTCGCAGGAGAGACGGGGGGATCACAGTTGTTCCCCGAGGTGGGAACCGCCAGGCCCGCGATGCACGAAGGTGGGGGCGCTCCCGGCGCGGGCGTCTTCCCAGCAGACTCCGCTCCAGCTGCGTGTTCCCGGCCTGCGG